AATGCGTCTCCTGTAGGCAGCATATTGTTGGGTCATGTTTTGTGATCCATTCTACTAGACTGTGTCTCTTAATTGGTGAGTTTAAGCCATTAACATTTAGGGTTATTATTGAGATATGGGTTGTTGTTCCAGCCATATTTGTTTATTTATGTTACTAAACATGGTTTGTTTTCCTCTTGGATTATTTTCCCCCCTTTACTGTACTACCTCCCACTGTTGGTTTTCATTGTTATTTTCCATTTCCTCTTCCTGTAATGGTTTGCCGAGGATGTTTTTGAGAGATGGTTTTCTAGCTGCAAATTCTTTTAACTTTTGTTTATCGTGGAAGGTTTTAATTTCATCTTCCATCCTGAAGCTTAATTTTGCTGGATACACAATTCTTGGTTGGAACCCATTTTCTTTCAGTGTTTGAAATATGTTATTGCAGGATCTTCTAGCTTTCAGAGTCTGTGTTGAAAGATCAGCTGTTATCCTGATTGGCTTACCCCTAAATGTAATCTGCTTCCTTTCTCTTGTAGCTTTTAAAATTCTCTCCTTATTCTGTATGTTGGGCATCTTCATTATAATGTGTCTAGGTGTGGATCTCTTATGATTTTGCACATTCGGCGTCCTGTAGGCTTCTAGGATTTGGGATTCTGTCTCAATCTTCAAGTCTGGGAAGTGTTCTCATATTATTTCATTGAATAGATTGCTCATTCCTTTGGTTTGGACCTCTATACTTTCCTGTATCCCAATGACTCTTAAGTTTGGTCTCTTTATGTTATCCCATATTTCTTGGATGTTATGCTCATGGTTTCTTAACAGTCTTGCTGAGCTGTCTATGTTCTTTTCAAGTTGAAATACTTTGTCTTCATTGTCTGATGTTCTATCTTCTAAGTGTTCTACTCTGCTGGTAGTATTCTCAATTGAGTTTTTAAGTTGGTTTATTGCTTCCTGCATTTCTAGGATTTCTGTTTGTTTGTTTTTTGTAACCTCTATCTCCCTGTATAGTTGATCTTTTGCTTCTTGGATTTGTTTATGTAATTCATTGTCGAAGTGATCTTTCATTGTCTGATTTTGCTGTCTAATGTCTTCCTTGATACTCCAGATCATCTGAAGCATGTATATCCTGAATTCTTTATCTGACATTCCATCTGCTGCAGATATTACCTCTTCTAACGTTGAGTTGACCTGCATTGCTTGTGGTCCTTTCTTTCCTTGTCTCTTCATACTGTTCGCGTTTCTTTCTGCTTGGTGAAACTGTTGTGCTATTGAATTTTCCCCCTATATATTTATATTGCTCTTGTATAGTTGCAAAGTCTCCCTCGCAGGCGCGGGCGGCGGCTCTACCCCTCCTCCAATTGGGGCAATGTGCCTACCACGCTGGTAGCCCGCTGGGCCTGTTCTGCCGGTCGGTAGCAGGTCCGCCTACCTTGCATGCGTGGGCGGCGGCTCTGCCCCTCTGCGGGCCGCTGGGCTTGTTCTGTCGGTGGGTCTCAGGTCCGCCTACCTTGCAGGTGCAGTTGGGGGTAGCTCTACCCTTCCGCAGGCCACTGGGCCTGTTCTGTCTGTCGGTTGCAGGTCTGGCCTGTTCTGTTGGTGGTCGCAGGTCCGCCTACCTTGCAGGCGCATGGGGCAGCTCTGCCCCTCCACGGGCTGCTGGGCCTTTGCTGCCGGTGGGTCACAGGTTCGCCTACCTTGCAGGCGCGGGGGGAGGGGGCGGCTCTGCCCTTCAGCAGGCCGCTGGGCCTGTTCTGCCGGTGGTCACAGTTCCCTCTCCATATCTTTACCACATTTATTTTCTATAGTTTTTAAAGTAATAACTCTCCTAATGGATGTCAGATTGTATCTCATTATGGGTTTTGTTTGCATTTCCCTGATGATTGGAGATGTTGGGCATCTTCTCTCATGATTTTTAGATACCTGTATATCTTTTTTTGGAGCAATGTCTACTCAAGTCTTTTGCCCATGTTTAAACTTCTTAAAGTTTAAACTGAGATGTTTTTGTTGTTGAGTTTAGGAATTCTTTATATATTATAGATATTAATTCTTTATGAGATATATGATTTGCAAATATTTTCTCTCATTCTTTGAGTTGCCTTCTTTTCTGTTGATAATGTGCAATCACTGTGCAATAGTTTTTAGTTTCAAAAAAGTTCAATGTGGCTGTTTTTCCTTTTGTTGATTATGTGCTCAGTGTCAGATCTGAGATTCTATTGCCAAATACAAGGCAAGGGAAATTCACTCCTGTGTTATCTTATTATAAGAGGTTTAGAAAATTTTAAAGTCTATAAAATTCACAAAATTCACCAAATCACCTACATTTATGTCTTTATCTCCTACATTTATGTCTTGGTCCATTTTGACTTAGTTTTTACACATAGTATGAGGGGAGAATCCACCTTCATTCTTTTATATGTGTTATCTGCTAAAGTGGCCATCATTTAAACAAAAAACAAACAAACAAAACAATAATAATAATAATAATAAGAAGAAGAAGAAGAAGAAGAAGAAAAGCACAAAGATTGTTGTGTGAGTTGATTTTCTGTTATTGTAAAAAAAAAATCTCTAAGGTAATCAACCTATAAAGTTGAAAGTTTCATTTTGGCTCATGGTTTTGGAGGTTTCAGTCAATGGTCTGAAGGACCTGTGGGGACACATCATGGAAGGAGCAAGGAGCCTAGCAAAACCATTTACCTCATGTCCAGGAGGTGAAAGGGAAGAAGAGGAAGAAACTGGGCCCTACTGTCCCCTTCCAGGGCACACTCTGGTGTCCTAAAGGCCTCCGGCTAGGCCCCAACTATAAAGTTTCCACCACCTCCTGACAGTACCATGCTGAGGCCCAGCCTTTATCACATGAGTCTTTGTGGAACATTCCAGATCCCAATTATAGCAGCTGCGAAGGCTCTGGAACCCTCACATGCTCTGTGTGGGGACATATGGTGCAGCCACTCTGGAAAACAGTGTGGGCATTCTTCAGAAAGTTACCCAGACTGAACCCATCCACTCCTAGAAAGCTACGCAGGATAACTAAAAACAGGCATTCAAATAAAAATTGTACATGAATGTTCATAGCATCCTTATGATAATAGTCCCCAGTGGTAACCCAAGTTCCTATTGATGGTTGAAAAGATTTAAAAATGTTGAATAGTCCTGAATTATTAATTGGCCATGAAAATGAATGAAATGTTGATACATGCTGCAACATGGATGAACCTTTGGAACTGTGCTAATTGAAAGAAACCAGACACAAAAAGCTACATGTTGTATGATTCACATGAAATGTCCAGACTGAAATAATTGTGTTCTCCAAGGGCTGAGGGGAGGGGTGAATGGAGCAATTACTTAGTGGATCTGGGGCTTTTGTTTGGAGTAATGGCAATGTTCCTGATCTAAAATAGCGATGATGGTTGAACAATATTCTGAATGGATTAAAAACCGCTGGATTATAGACTTTAAAACAGTTAAAGTGGTGAATTTTATGTTAAGTGCATTTTACCTAAAAACGGCAAGCCACAGACTGGAAGAAAATACTCACAGTACAATTATCTGACAAATAATTCATACCCAGAATAGGAAAAAAATAACTTTTACCGTTCAGTAATAAAAATGTCTTTTCTAATAATGGGTAATGGATTTGAAAAGACACCTCACAAAAGAGAATAGTGAAAGTCTCAAAACCCATGAAAAGGTGTTCAACATCATTAATCATCAGGGAAATGCAAAATAAACCCCAAAGGAGGTAACTATGATCACTAGAATACCTAAGATAAGAAACACCAACCATACCAAGAAGTATTCCCAGGACTGTGAAATGTTCATAGCTCTCAGATCTTTCTCGTGGAAAAGCAAAGTGGTACCACCACTCTGGAAAACTGGCATTTTAAAAATTAGGCTCAACACACCTACCCCATTATTCAACCCTTTTTCTTCTTGCAACTTACTAAAGAAAGGTGAAAGTATATGCCCATTAAAAAAGACATGAACATGAATGTTCATAGCTGCTTTAATCGTAGTAGCCCCAACTTGGAAACAACCCAAATATCTATCATCAGATGAACAGATAAGCAAATTATGGTATATCCATGCAATAGCGTAATACTCAGTGATAAAAAGAATCATAAAAAGAATCAATCTGTATGCATACAACATTCATGAAACTTAAAAACATCATGCTGAGCAAAAGAAGCCAGAGAATACATAATAGAGTACCTATTCTATTATCTCAATTATGAGAAGTTCATGAGCAGAAAATTATGTAATAGGAATAAGAAGACTGGCTGGCGATCTCTCAAGTGCGTGACTAGAAGGAACCTTTCTGGGATGGAGGAAGTACTTGACGACCTGACTGGGCTGGAGGTTACTGGACTCCCTAACCACTTGCAAAAACTCACCAAACTCTACACTTAAGATCTGTGCTTTTTATTATCCACAAATGATACTTCAATAAAAACAGAACCAGAGGAGGGGAAGTGGAGAAAAGTATAAGACAATTGTGTGGTGGGGTCTTGCTGGAAAAGATGCAGGTACAAGCCAGTGAGTGACTAGAAGGGATAGTGAAACCAAGTGTGTGTGTGTGTGTGTGTGTGTGTGTGTGGGTGCTTGTATGTTGGGAATTCCAGAGCAAGACCTTTAGTAGAAGAGAGGAATTTAGGATGCACGCTCATGGGTTGTCTAGGAAACCAGGAGGTAACCTTACTCTGTCTCCTGACATTTGAACCAGAGTTACTAAGAGGAAGCTGCATCAAGGTAGATCTTGGCTCAGTAGAAAGGAATCTTTTGAGGAGTAGAACTTTTGCCTTCTTAGGCTGCCCGGAGGGGTAGAGGGTTCTTTGTCATGAGGGCTGCTGTAGTAGCAAACTCTAACCTCAAATGAGAAGGGGGAAGCTGGGCTAGTTTAGGTCACCTCCTGTCTAAGCTGTCCCACTTGTGGGTATGTAAATCAGGACTTGGTAGCAGGGATGCAGGCCAGCCCCTTGCTCCACCTGATACACTCCTGACCATCCCCAACCTTCTCTCAGATGCTGGTGCCCCTGTGTACTTCTATGAGTTTCAGCACCGGCCTCAGGTCTTTGAAAACACGAAGCCAGCCTTTGTCAAAGCTGACCACACAGATGAAATCCGCTTTGTCTTCGGAGGTCCCTTTCTGAACAACGACATTGTCATGTTTGGTAAGAAACTGGCTGCAGGGGCTTCTGCTCTTGCAGGAAATGTGGAACTTAGGATGAGCTGGGGAGAAATCTGCTGCTGACATAAGACCCTGCTCATCCCAGCTCCGTGCAAGAGCCTGGGCGGGTGATGGGATACTGAGGGGCTGGGATTCTGTCACCTTCATGGTTTGCAGACCTTTCTCTGGAAAAAGCCCACTTGGATTTTTAGAAACCAAGATGAAAAAGAGCTGCCACCATTGCTTCATGAGACTTCACTGTGCTGAGGCCTGTAGGATGTGAACTTTAGAACATTCCATCTAATATAGAAAGCCAATTAGATCCGTTTTCTTCCTTTTCCACGACCACTGGTCTCACCGTCCCTGTCCTTCCCTGAAGTTCCCTGAGGAAACATCCAGGATTTTGGAAGGCAGGATCTAGGCACCCCCTGCACCCCAGAGTAAACCCGGGGCTCCGTATTTGCTAGGCAAGCACTCTGTCACCAATACATCCCCAGCCCAGCACCCATGATTTTTATAGTATTTTTATAATTCCAGCTCCAGATACACTTGTGAACAGTTACCAACAATGTTCACTTATTTATTTTTGAATTTAGGATATATTCAGTGTCTAAAATAAGCCAACCAGATATAGTCATTACTGAACAAAATTAACAGAAAAATTACACGGCAGGAACTATCACTAAAATATTTAGTGGAAAATATTACATAATACAGGCTCCTAACTAATACAAATAGGATGTAGACTGTGGTTTAGTCGTTGTTTCATTTATTCATCCTCAACAGGTAATTCAGATCATGATAGATCTCTTAGGTTGTTGCGAGAATGAAATAATTGCCATAAAGCAAACAGTGAGTGCTTCTTCTTCTTCTTCTTTTTTTTTTTGTGGTGCTGGAGTTTGAACCCCAGGGCCTTGTGCATGTGAGGCAAGCACTCTACCAACTCAGCTACATCCCCAGTCCCAATGAGTGCTCACTGAATGTCACTGCTCTTACCCAGCAATCATGACTGAACCTGTTCTTTGTGATGGCACATGGATTCTCCAAACTGGATAAAATAGCCATCTATGTATCAAATGATTAAATTCCTGATATCTGGAGGGCTCCTCAAGTTAATAAGAAAAAAACCCCAAGCCCATCAATAACTGGGAAACACTCAAACAGATGGTTTCTGAAAGGGAAGTAAGTGGCTTTTAACCACGAAAATCCACTCAATCCCACTGTAGATTTGAGAGTTGTGGACTCTCCTTGGCTGAGAAGTCATTTTTCATCCTTCAAGGTGGAATGAACAAAGTATTTTTGACAGTGTGTTTCAGCAGATAAAGGAAAAAGACATTTTCATGCATTAATAGAAAAATCTTATTGACATTGAAAATGCATGCAGTGTTTAGTGTGGTATTTCTAAGAATTTTTGTGTAATTATACCTCCACATGTGCAAAAGTGTATGTGCACACTAAAGCATTACTTTAACAAACAAAAGATTGGAAACAAAACAAAGATCCATTAATAGAATACTTGTTGTGGCCCAGCATGGTGGCACATGCTTGTAATCCCAGCAACTTGGTGTGTCATGGAACCAGTCCCCTGGGCTGAGGCAGGAGGATTCCAAGTTCAAGACCAGTGTCAGCAATGTAGTGAGGCCCTAAGCAACTTAGCAAGGCCCTATCTGAAAAAAAAAATAATAAAAAGGGCTGGGGATATGGCTCTGTGGTTAAATGCCCCTGGCTTCAATCCTGGTACCAAAATAAAATAAAATAAAATAAAAAACAAAAACTAAGAAAAACCTAATGGCATGTATTATATATTTGAATATATTTGCATATAAATACATATTTTAAATTGTATACTATGTAGAACAACAAATAACAGCATTTCAGGTGATGATGTAGAATTATCTCCTAGACATAATTTCAGGAAAAAGATGTAATTCATGTGTCCAATATGTATAGAAAGGTGTCCTCCACTTACACCTGTGGGTTTTCTGGAGGACTCAGGAAGCCTATGGCAGTGATTGATGCTGAGACTGGTAACTGGGTCTCTGGAGGAAAGTGACAGGAATGAAACCTATCTCTATTAGTTAATAGATGGAGTGTTTTTTTTTTTTTTTTGCATTTAATCAGGTATTACCTTTTCAAATAAAGAAATACACTACAGTCAGCCTTCCTTCTCAGTGTTGAACTGACTGCAGATTGAAAACATTGGGAAACCCACTGAGTCTATATGGATGTCATGCGGAGTTTTTCTTGTCATTGTTCCCTAAACAACACAGCATATCAACTACACATGGTTACATTGTATTAGGTATTATAAGTCATCCAGAGATGATTTAAAGTGTAAGTGAGGATGTAGGTGGGTTATTTGCAAAACGATACTATTTTCTATAAGGAACTTGAGCATTCTTGCAGGTGTGTCATGGAACAAGACCCTGGGCATACAAGAAACAGCTGTAATGAATTGTTTGTTGAAGTGTGTATGTGTGTGGGGACGGGGTGGGTAGGAGAGAGGTTTCTGTGTCCCCAAGTAACCTGCAGCCAGATGGAAGAGCAGGGGAGAGACAAGGCCGACTTTCATCATGATTCTTTGCATACATCCCAGTTGCTTCTGGTAGCTGCGTATATGAAATGGGTAGAGTAAGATGGTGAGATTGTTGGGATCTGGCAGGGCGGGAGGCATCATCCCATGGGAGGTGCATTTGGCTCCTGGTGAATCTAGGAGCAGCTAGATATGTGCTTATCTCTTGCAGAAGAACCCACCGAGAAGGAGAAAGTGCTAAGCAGGACCATGATGAAATACTGGGCTAACTTTGCTCGGACTGGGTAGGTGAACCTGCTAGCCTCCCCCACCCAAAGTCCTGGAAGATGAAAATGTCACCTGGCATCTGTTGTCACTTCCAGGGACCCTAACAGTGGTGACCTGCCCCACTGGCCAGCCTATGATGAGCAGGAGCAGTACTTGATGCTGGATTTGAACTTGAAGGTCGGAGAGAGATTGAAAGAGTCCAAAGTGGTGTTTTGGACACAGACCTTCCCCTTGATTATGTCTCCATCTGGAGATCTGCTCAGCCCTCATTCCTTTCTGATCTTCCTTTCTCTGCACATGGCTTTCTTGTTCTCGTTTCCTCCTTAGAAGTCATCTCTGTGTGATTCTGATTTTCCCACTTCTGAGATTCTTCCTCAGATGGGCTGCTTTCTGTGGAGATATTTGTGGAATAAGTGGCGTTAGCTGATGCTTGATGACTTAGGAATTGTCTTTTTGATATTCCTTTCAACACCACCCAATGTAATTGGCCTTGGAAGGCAACAGGATCTCTTCAGTAAGTCTGATGAACAGTGGGCCCCTTAGTTGTTATAATAATGATCTTGTGACTCCTATGAAATAAAATCAGAATGTGAAATATGCAAAACAGAATGATTCTGTGCTAATAACTCTCTCTGCCCCCAGCATCCAAGATGAAGTAGTTTTTCTATTGTTGTCTGTGTGGTACATAAAATATGAGTACCCAATGCCAACCAGGGTAGCTTTTGCCACAAGCCAAAAATGGATATCCCGGATGTCTCTGGGTTTAAGTTGGGTCTCTTTGTCTAGCTGGGCAATCATATGGGGGAGATAGGGATGTTTTGGAGAACATCTTTCTCAGCCATGGAAACTAGACATCATCCAAGGTCAAGGACCAAGAAATAGAACCCTAGACAGCCAGGGGCAAAGCAGGGATGCCAAGGAGAAATGAGGTTTCCCTGATGGGGTCAAGATGACTGACCATTCAGTAAATGTGCATTGAGTACTGATGAGTATTGGGAGCTGCCCTGGACAAACACACCCTTAACTCCTGATGCATGAAGCTCTGACCAGTCACTACATTTTGAAATGACTTTGGTGTTGTTCCAGATGGGATATCAAGGCATGACTTCAGGAGTAGGTGTACCCACTGGGGTTGAGTTACACTCAACTATTCCTTTGTAATCCTACCCCTTTGCCCTGTTTGGGATAGAATTTTCCATGGAATCTCCCTTTGTGTGTCCCTTTTTCTTGCTCTGACTTTGATCCCCACTCAGCACATGAGATGGGTGTGGCCGTCCTAGATGTCAATCAACCTGCTGACAGCAGAAATCACAAAGCTAGACTCAACTCCCTGAAACCTGACCCCTTGCCTCATTTGAGTGACTTCTCCCCAATAAAAGGGTTCAGCACATGCCTCTCTCTTTCCACAGACTCCTAAGGTCGGAGAAGCCATCACAAGACCCAAAGAAAAACATATTTCTCTCTGTGTGTGTGATGATTTCATGCCAGCCCAGCTCACCTGGAGTGACTTTAAGTGTTTGACAAATGAGCATCAATTGTACCTCCAGTGTGGATAAGGTAGTGAGCAAAAGCTTGGCCTCCACTAATAGCAAGCAGACAGCCATCAGCAAACAGCTGAATATCTTAGCGTGTACATTTGTAAGTGCTATTCAGGAAAAGCATGATATTTTAAGAAAATATAACAGAGGGGACTTTATTTACATTAAAGTCTTGAGATGCTCTCTGGAGAAACAACATTTATATTAAGAAAGGAGGGATTGAAGTTAGCCACATGGTGGGGGTGCAGAGAATATCATATATACCACACCTAAAGAATATACTCGTACTTTGTGTATCATCAAGATTACAGCGGAGGTGCATAGGAGGGTTTCAAAGATGCCAGTAACTTCAAGTTTATCTGCCTCAGCCATCTCTAACTCAGCCTGAATCCATCCAGTTAGAGATTAGATACAGACATAGATATTCAGAACAGACAAATAAAAAGAAGAGCTACAAACCACCTCTCAACTCATTTTAAAAACACCATTATATTAAAGAACATTACACACATCATTTATATGCTGCTGGCAGTCTCTGCATCCTTGAATATATTTCTAATTTTGGTAGGTATCTTGAGGGGTGGGGCACATTTCCAGCTCACCTAGAAATGGGGCCCTTCCTCCTTCCTGTCCACGTGCAATTAGATACTCTATGGAGTTAAAGTTGATATGTAAGTGACATCTTTTTTTTTTTTCATTTTCCTTAAGGCTTTTCTATCTGTGGTGTAAGTAGAAGAATCATTTGTAGGAATTTTTCACAATTCCCAAAGCTAATTTCCCAGTACAACTGAAATATAATCTTGATCGGGACCTGGACCTATTTTTTTTTTTTTTTTTGAGTTTGTAGGTATTGTGGCGTCTACCTTTGATTCAGAACACTGAGTTTTAACCCTGTGGGATGTATATTTTCCAAGTTGCTAGAGTCTCTTAAAAAATTCTGCTTTAATATTCTGGATATTTATGGACAAAATTTGATAAGTGATTTTGGAAATGACTCTTTTTATTTAAAAATATTATTTATGGTATCCAACTTTGCAGAAGATGGTCTGGGCCAAAGTCGAGGCCCTTTTAAAATTACTGTTCTTAGGCTCTGCAAATTCCCTTTCCTAAAGAGCCTTATCGCTTCATACTTTTCAGCAATCCTAGTACGTCTGCTTTTCCATCATTGCAAAAATATAAAATATATAATCAATTTCTTATTGTAAAACAGATGATTTAATTTTAAAATATACATTCTCCCCTTTTGTCCGAATACAATCTTGGACCTGATTGATTAAATCAAACCAAAACCAAACAAGGTCAAACCACATCCGTCTTCACCTGTAAACTTCCCTGTGTCCAGCAGAGGGCAGCACTAAGACAGGGAAACTGCTTCTCCTTCCTGGAGGCTCCAGGGTGGCTGGTGACAGGTGAAATGTTAAAGAAGGGCAACAAAGTAGAAGAGAAACCAAAACAAATAGTTAAATCAGAAATCAATATCATATACCGTGTTGTCCTTTCTCTCTGTGTGAGAACAGGGAGAAGATACCATCTATGACCTAAAAAGATTAAACTCATGGGCAGCACCGAGGTCAGGGTTGCAGCTGCAGTTTTATCTTTTCTAATCTTTGTGCCTCTGGGGCAAATTTCAAGGGAGGCTCAGACATAGGCATAAAGCAGTCCTTTCTCCTAGGGCTCTCGGTGCCTTCTCTTCCCTGAGAGTCTTTTAAACTCTGTACCTTTCACCCAGTCTCATAGCCCCACTCTGCCTGTCACCACCTCCATCCATTCTCTGGGGAAGAGGGGATCATGCACAGACCTTGCACTTGGGAAGCTGCCCCACCTGGTTCTGCACCACAGCCCATCTAGATGAGCCTCCCTTCTTCCCTCTGCTGAGATGGGTCCTACTTGGTGACAACCTTGTGCTCTGCTCAAAGTTTGTTCTAAGAATGTGCCTTATTTCTTCCCTGGGAAGCCGGGCAAGGGGAGAAAAGCCAGTCCTAGTACTTGATTGTGTCAAATACAAGGGGACTCACTGAAGAAGTGCTTGCTGGGCTCCACAGGGGACTTAGGGGACAGCTTTTTATACTTTGACTTGTAGGAAACTTTAATCATTTTTTTTTAAACTGGAGTGATCCTCCTAGTTCATTTTTTGTTGCTACAACAAAATCTCTGAGATTGAGTATATTTTAATGAAAAAAGGTTAAACTAACTCACAGTTCTGGGGGTTGGAGAGCATGATGCTGGCCCCTACTTGACTCTGGTGTAGACTTCATGGCAGGTGGCATCACAACGGTGAGAACATACACAGGAGAGATCACATGGAAAGACAGGAAGCCAGAGATCTGGGAAGGGCTAGGCTCATTTATTATTTTTGTTTTTGCTTTTTAAATAACAACCTATTCTTACAGGAAGTAGCCTGGTCCTGTAAGAACGATACCAATCTCTTCCAAGGCTGAGACCCCCAGTGTGACCTTATTACCTGCTGTTAGGACCATCTCTAAAAGATACTGTCAACTCTCAGTGAAATCACTCTAGGATCCCCATGATGGATCACGTGATGATATCTCGTGATTCCCTGGGGAACACACTGAACGCCTACTCAAATCCAAACCACAGTAGGAATGAGAAAATGAAAGGTGAGTCTCTCCACCTGTCATCTATCTACTCACCTACCTATCAGTTGTCTATCTATCTTTGTCTCTTCATATAATCGTACTTGAAGCTTTATTCACCTCCCAGACTTTTCCTGTATGATAGGCACTTTATTCAATAAATGCCTTAGGTAAAATTTAAGTTGGATTTCTGTTAGAACAGACAATGAAATCTTTATTAAATAATTGCCACCTCTGACCATTTTATTCTACCCTAAAACTAATCTTTGCATGATCTACATAAATTTTCTGTTTCACTATTGCCTCCTTTATCAAATGCTGCCCCTGACCAGCCTGGGAAGCTGAACTGAGGTCTCTCGTATGAATTTGCAGGGACATAAAATAAAACACAGAAACAATTTATACAATTTATCTTTACACAAGTTCAGGATGGCTTCTCTGGCCCTGGCCCTCAGGCTCCCCAAAAGGGAGAGCAAGAGAAAGTCACGAGAGGCTGGAGAGAGAGAGAGAGAGAGAGAGAGAGAACATGATGTTCGGAAGTCAGCCAGCTTCTATTGGGGGACACTGTTCTTAGAAAGTTCTATCCATAAAAAGGCAGAAGGGGTAGGTTTACAGGAACAGGTGAGTGTAACTCCAACCTAGGGTTACGCCCACAAAGAAGACCTCCTTGCTTGGGTCACTGCCCAAGCCACAAGGAATGCAGTGGTTGGTCAGAGCCGGAGGCATCAGGACTGGAAGGCATGGTCATTCAGTGTGGCTTTCCACACTCATTCTTAGTGCCTGGTACAAACTTTCAAGTTTTTAAATTAAATATAGTACACACGGAAGAAAGCATCCATGCACATAAACAGTGTGTGCAACATACTATGTCTTGATGAATGTGTACAAACTGGTTGCACTTATGTAATTTGAGAAAAGGAATGCCATAAGCCAGAAGCCCTCCAAAGCCTAGCTGCAAGCCCTGCCTCTACCTGCTCATCTATTTTCAGTGGTCACCTCTGTCCTGACTCTCTATATTAGCATATACTAGTTTTTCTGGGTTTTGTGCTTTATAATAACAGAACCATGTGCTCTTGCATCTGGCTTCCGTCTCTCCCCACAGGGATCACAGACTCAGTTGTGCTGTTGTGTGTGGTCATAGTTGGTCCCTTATCGGTGTTGTAAAGTCATCCGTTGTGTGACCGTTCCCTGGTTT